GTTTGGTGTATTGATAATGTTTGGGTCTTTTTATGTATTACTCTTATAGTGAGATTTACTCTTCACACACCATCATGATGATTAGGTATCTTTCTTTTACTTGAGAATGTAGGACTCTCTTAAGTATCTTTAGTAAGTCCGATCTGGTGATCATAAATTCTCTCAAGTATTTTCTTTTGGGAAAATCTTTATTTCTCCTATGTTCTGAAGGACATCTTGCTGTATATAGTAATCTGGGTTACTTTCTTCAGGAGTTGAATAACATCATATATAATCTCTCATGGCCTGTAGAGTTTCTTGCTGAAAATCTGCAGTTGGTCTAATTGGATTGCCCTTAAATGCAACTTGACACTTTGCTCTTAAAGCTTTAAAATACTTTCTTTGTCCTTTACTTTGGGCAGTTGATCCAAACTGTCTGTTTGAGGAGACAAGAAAGTCTTGTCTATTTGGAGTTCTGAAGGCCTCCAATAACATGAATGTCCATGAGTTTCCCAAAACTAGGGACATTTTCTGCTATCCATTGAATAGGTTTTCTGTGCCAGTAATGCAGATGTTTGGTCATTTAATGGTGCCCCAAAATTCTTTGAATTCTCCATTTTTCTTACATATTTTTTCCTTTTTTTTTTCTGTCCAAATGTGATATATGTAACTTGTCAATTTAATTTTACATTTCAAGTTAGCAATACATGATAGTATGGGATTCATTGTGATAATTCCATAAATTCATGCAGTGTGCTTTGAACAAGTTCAGCCCCTTGAATGTGATAATTTTGAAAAACCTGTCTGTAAGCTCTAATATTCTTTCTTCCACTTCAATCTAGCCTGTTGTTGGAGGGCTTTCAACTGAATTTTTTATTTGACTTATTGAGGTCTTCATTTTCATTTTTCTGTTGGTTTCTTTTTCAGTATCTCTGACCTTTTAATGAATTTCTCATTCATATCATTGTCTGCCTAATTTTTACTTAATGGTTTATCTGTATTGTCTTGGTTTCCACTGGCATTTTATTTATTTAGCAGTCCTAGGGGTTGAACTCAAGGCCTTGCATTTGTTAGGCAAGCAGGCTACCACTTGAGCCACAGCTGCAGCTCTCTAGTCATTTTGATGGGATGTGGAATATTATGAACTTTATGCTGTTGATCTCTGCATTTCCTCTTTTTAGAGAGCAAGTGTAATCACCTTGATCCTCTTGAGTTTTGGTTTAGGAAAAGGTACTTTCTGCTCAAGGATAGTTCAACCCTATTAAAATGATGTGACCTATCTTGTTTTCCCTCAAAGTCTTTGTCTCTCTGCTGTTGAACTTTGGAAGGAAAATGTTCACCTCTTCTTTAACCCATGTGTTAGTTTCACTGGTGTCACGAAATACCTGAAGAGAATCAACTTAAAGGAGGAAAGATTTGTTTGGCTTATGGTGTGAGAGGTTAGGCCAAGTCACTTAGCTCCGTTGCTTTTGGCATGGAGGGAGTATCTGCTGTTCAGCTCATGGCAGTCAAGAAGCAGAAAGAGAGGAGGAAGGAGTAAGGGTCTCCACATTCCTTTCAGGGGCATGGTCCAGTGACCTGACTTCCACAGCAGAGGCTTTTCAGTCTCAGTGGGGTGTGCTTGTGGTATAAAATAATAGATAAAACCTGTGATTTGTGATCCAGATTATTAAATGTAATCACCTGTCTCAGTCCTCACTCAGCTACAGAGGTGTTTTCCTTCTTTCCAGGTTCACTTTAACTTGCAGTTTACAAAACCAAGTTCATCCCTGGGAGACACTCAGCCAGGAGCAGCTGTTAGCATGCCTGGCTCAACTGATAAGGAAAAGTAGGTGCTGCCAACATGATTAATGTTTGTGGTTTTGAAGTTCATAAAGAATTTGTATCCATGCTTAGCAGCTGTGATGCTGAGGACATTTTCAGATGCAAACTTCATTTGGATTACTTGTAGCTATAAAGGTGGTCTCTCCTGTCTGTTCTTTTAAGCTTGACATGTAACATCTGAGGATTTCCTTTTTAAATATTTTTGGGTGCATACATAGAAATCCTTCTTAATTCCTCATAGTGAGTGTGTTTTTTGTTTTCCTGAATGGCTGTATATGCCCTGGATGCCCTCCATTTTTCTTATTTTTTTTAATTATTTATACGTTTTCATTAGTAATATGATAGTTGTACAGGAGGTTTTGTTGTTGTTTCTAAATATACGTTACCCTGGTTTGGTTCGTCCCCTCCATTATTCTCCTCTTCTCCCTCTTTACCCCCAAGAAATTTGTTTTTGGGTGGGGGACTGGGGTTTGAACTCAGGGCTTTGCACTTGTTTTTGTTTTGATGTGTCTGGGGGAAGTACTGGAGATGAAGCCCCGCTAGGGTCTCACGCATGCCAGATAAGCTCTCTGCTACTGAGCCACACACCCTCAGCCCAGCTGATATTTGCGTATTTATGGTACCGGTTAGTGTTCTTTATCCGAAATGTCTTGAGGCCAGAAGTGTTTTGGATTTCAAAATTTAGGATTTGGGAATATTTGCATATATACATAAGGAGATGTTTGGGGATAGGAGCCAAGTCTGAACACAGGATTCAAAAGTTCCTTCTACACATAGCCTGAAGGTAATTTTCTGTGGTATTTTAGCGTACCTGTGTTTGACTGGTCTATCCTGTGAGGCCAGTGTTGCAATTTTCTATTTTTGTAGCATCGCAGGGGGCTCAGTTTTGATTTGGAGCATTTTGGATTTGTGGGTTGGGAATGTTTAGCTGTGTTAAGTGTGATTACATAAACCTTGAAAAATAATGAGATGAGACTTTTAGAAAAAATGTATTTTCTTTTTGAGTGCTGAAAATTTGGGGCTGGAATCCAAATACTTGAGGAAAAGAGAAGATAGCATTCCGCTACGTGGACTCAGCCAGAATCTGTTCAGTAAACTCAGGTGAGAAGGCATTTCGGGCTGAATGGTGTGCGTGAGGACCTCAGTGAGCAGCTGTGATCTTTTTGTCCCCACTTGTAGACCACCAGCAGGATGGCACCCTGGGAGCACTGCAGCCGCCTTCCAAAGCCCTGGCACCCGCTGCCCCCTCCTCTGCGTACTTCCCTGGCAACTGCCTAGCAACTAACTCCTGCAGCATCGTTTACGTTTGTGCACTTCAAAAATGTCTTAACAGAACAAGCAAGTACAAATGTTTGCATGGACTCCTGCTAAGATTCTTTGGATCCTTTATGCTACTACTGTCATTTATGGCAGACATTTTATACAAACAAATTTGTACGTGATAAAGATTGAGGAAATGATATTTTTTGGTTTGTGAACATGCTGTTTTATAAAATAGTATGAATTTATTAGAATTCTGTTAAATTCTTAGATATTCAGTTCTAAGTAGTTGATCCTTGTAAATGATCATACTGAAAATTTGGGTAAGCTAAATGCTAGTCGGAAAGTATGAAACCAAAGATCACTAATGGTCTTTTTTTACTATTTTTATTACTAAGTTCTAGATTTGCCACCTGACAATTACAAGCAAAAGGTAATATCTCCTAAGATTATGTTACTGATATTTCTGTGAAAGAAAAAGTCCTAATCGGCCTTAAATGAACTAAGCCTTCATAGCAAGTAAGAATGACTTTTCCTGAAACATTTAAATTAGCTATTGTCTACAAAATAACTTGTTACAAAAATAATTTTAATAGTATATTTACATGACCAGATTAAGTGTAAAGTGCTTTAGTCATTCCTGCTGAGTTTGTTAGGATTTTAATGCTTCCTGAAAGTACACTCATCCATCTCTTCTCCCCAGTTTTGAGTTTTATTAGCTATGCAGTAAAATCCCTACCAGTGAAATAGTTTTAAAAGTTGGTTCATATAAAATCTCATCATGAATATTCCTTGAATGTTTTTGTAGTATCAAAAGCTGAGTTCATTTTAGTGTTCACTTAAGTAGGTGAAATAACTGCTAGAAGTTACATCTTTCTTCCCCATTCCTAAAAATTTCAAGTAACAGCTGTTCCTTGGGGGAAAAAAAATCAGGCGATATTTCAAAACTACCCCAGAATCATGGGTCCCATTTTGTTGTTGGCAGCCATCCAGCACAGACGCTCATTAAGCATCCTTTCCATCCAAGCTTGTCTGCAAGGTGCAGTGCTGTGTGAAAACGAAAAAATGCTCTAAGAACTTTACACAGATGCGGCAAGAGGCACTTCAGCACAGTGGCATACATGCCAACTGACGGAGTTCACACAGCAACACAAGGATCTTTGCTAAGTTTTTTAAAAATGAATCCCATGTCTTGAGTCTTGTATACTCTGAAATAATAATCTTAACTAGGGATCTGATTAGAAAATTGGGTAACATTAGGGAGTAACTTTCTCCCGTTCATTTAGATACTTTAGTAAGAATACTGTTATGGTAACTTGAATGAATCCACTTACTCTGGAAAGTCTCTTGGCTGTGGAACTTTGTTGTTGTAAATACTGTGTAACATGTATGTGTATCTAACATTGTGACAGGGTGACATGTGGCTTTTTTCCTTTTCATACAGATGTCCCTTAACCACATACACACAAGGAAAGTTGCATTTCCATAAAGATCATTCTGACATCACTTTGTTAAAGCTGTATGTATAAATGTATATATACATATATATATATATACACACTTCTGAGTGTGCTAATTCTTTGCTCTACCTCTTGAAACTTTTATTTGAAATTGTTTTGCAGTGTATAATTGTACATGTGTTAATCAAAATGTTGCATCTTATGTTATTTCTATAAACTGAGCTTTGCTAATAAATATTAAAATTTGAGAGAATGGTATGTGAGCAATATAAAGAAACAGACCTGATGTGTAACACCTGTGCTTAGAAAAGTCAGGTACTTCCAGTTGGTTTGCAAACTGCATTTTGGTTTTTGTCATGAGGGAAGAGAAGTGGATTCAAGTGCAGATGGTAGGACAAAGCTTTGATTTGTTAGACACGATTATGGTAACAATGTGAAACAGGCCCTGCTGTAGGGGAGGGACTCACAGATCAAGACTTTTTTAAAAAGAAAAAAATCATTAAAATATTTAATTTTATTAACAGAATATTTACATTTTTAAGACCTTATTTAACCATAGTGAATGTTCCAAGTTTAAAAAGCATTAGGCAATAACCACACACAAGATGAAAACTGGAAACTATACAATACTCTATGTACATTTTTACAAAGTAACACTTTTTAAATAATATAACTGGACACAAAAATATACACTTTAGAGAAATTCACATCAGTAATTGTATAAAGCTCTCTTCTGGGGTCCTGAAAATTGAGGACAAACATTAGCTGTGTAAATGAAGTGTTACCGTGACAGTCCGGAAGGCCACTATATATATTCATCTACATGTAGATGTCACACTGACATTTTCAAGGCTACCAACTTTACTGTATGATTTTAGATTATGTGTTCAAGTGTTGAGTGCTTGTGATTATGCAAACATTAAAAGAACAGTGGCGTGAGAAGCAGCTGGGGAACAGACAGGAGCCACCGTTTAGGTTTACAAGCTCTCATCACCCCAATTTAAATTCTAAATGGCTATTTTCTTACTTCAAAAACAGTGAATAATGTTTAAAATAAAATATCCTGCAAATAAGCTCGAAACATGATTCAGATTTTTAGTACAATTTTCTTAAGTGTTTTGTTTTTAATGCAAACAATTCATTTACCATTTCTTTATTTTAGTGCATCTGCATTAAGGCTTTGAATTATTTGACCCAAGATTTTACAATATCAAAATCTGTCTCAGGATTTTACAATGTTAAAACAGGTCCACAACCACACTACCTAGTTGGTCTCAGAGAGTCAGCAGTTGAAGCTCAACACTTTAAGGAAACGGTAGCAGAGACATATGCTAATATCTAAGAAGTTACATATATAGCTTTTAATTAAAGGATGTATAATAAAACAGTTTAGTGGCAAGAAATTGTTGCTAATAAACAAAAGGTTTCTTTTCAAAAGAAATTGTAACATCTTTGGAAAACTGTCTGTTCTTCCTTGCTCTAGTTCCCCCAGAGTTCATGCAGATGTCTTTCTTAAGACAGTCTCAAGTGCACTGCGATGGAGATGGGATGCACATCCAGAGCGACAGGTGAGAACTCAGACCTGGTGCAGAGAGAATCAGCTTCCTGATTCCGGTTGTCACACGTTTGTGTCCTGGAGTAACGGTTCTTTGGCCTCTCCTGGAGCTTGAGTACAATGAGGATGACTGTGACTGCCACAGTGCTTTCTCCAGCTGCTGGACCTTAAACTTAAATTGGTGTGCTCTGGGATAAACAAGGCAACGAGCAGAGCCAGCAGTACTGAACAGGCTCCGAAGAGGAAGGGGGGACCCGGGATGATGGAGTTCTGAGGAAGACAAAAGCGTGTCATGAGAAGTCGCTCATCTTTTACTCCTGATCGCTATGAATTACAAACCAGTTACTCCTCTTCATTAAGGCCACAGTTACAAAATGCCTTCTCTTTTCAGTTACAAAAGGGACATGATACTCAATATAAAATTCTGGGAATGAAAACTGATGACAGCCTATGCAAAAATACCACTTTTTAGCACAAAGTCTGAAAAAGATGTTCTGTCAGCCTGCCCTTCATTTGTTAGTCCAAGAGAAAAACAGGAAGATCTCAAAAGTAAAACCACATAGCATATATATTTAACTACAGTAGTAGAATTAATTACTATTTTTTTTGTTGGAAAAAAGGTAATTACACTCTTAGGACTGAAAGTAAGAAAAATACAGATAATGCTGTTACCTTGAAAAGAAAAATCTTTATCTTTGCCCCAGATTACATTCATTCATAGCAAAAACTTACACCACCAGTTTTAATGGTGTGTACCCCACAAACCTTTTTATTTAAAGGAGGCTTAGCTGGTTGTAAGATCGGTGTGTAACACTTACTAAACCAAGCCAGCAAACAGATGAGCAATTTGTGTTGTCTAAAATCACCAGTGTGGTTTGGCATTAATGTTTTCAGTTGTAAGAACAGAAATACAGAAAACAAGTGGGTACAGAAGGCAGGCTTAACATGGGAACTGACATTGCAAGTCTCAAAAGAAACAGGAAATAAAGAGAAATGGTTGACATGCCAACAGGTGTAATCTGACAAACTAACTGCTCTTTCTCAAAAGGAAAAAAGTATGCACTGCCCATTTCACCCAGTTATTCAGAAGAATGCAATCACTTAAGACTTTTTAGTTTTTAAAGTTATTTTTGTTTTGCAGCGGTGGGGATTGAACCCAGGGCCTCATGGTCTACGACTGAGCTACATCTCCAGCCCATTAGGTGTTTCATTCAATCTGAGAATAGTTAAGAGTTTCATCTAAAAGTTTTTGTCATCAGCATTTTTTAGTCCAGCCAAATAAGCTGTAGAATCTGCTTATGTGACTCACCTGTTCAAAGTGGTGCTGAGGGCTTGTGTTTGTCCCTAGGTCTGTTCCTGTTATTGGCAGTTCTTTAAGCTCCACATGGAATATGTAGAAAATGAATCCATAGAGGGCTGGTCCCAGACCATTGCACAGTCCTCGAATTCCTGTTATCATTCCTTGAACAACACCTACATAGTTTAAAGAAGTCATTTCATACAAATCACGAACTCAAATCTAAAACAAAGGCTGTTAGCAAATACTAACACTTCACTGCAATAGTGTTAAAAACTACCTAGAAGCCATCAGCTCTGCAGAGCATTGGATGCCCTCCTGTACCCACAGTAAACTCAAAAGGACAGCATCTCCCTAGATACAGCCTTAAAACATCCCTGCTTGACAGCCAGACTCGAGTTCACAAGTGCTGCAAGCATTAAAAACCATCCCCAGCAGCCACTTACGACCCCTTAGTTGAACATAACGCTACTGAGTCTGCCTGACGAGTCTCTAGGATGGGAAAGGACAGGCCTCCTTCCCATTTCCTTAGTGACTGCTGCTATTCTTGTGCAACACCTTTTTCCTCATGACCAGATGGAATATACCCTTCTCAAAGAGTTATTCCTTACCTGGTAGCATTCCAAAAATTAAATGTTACCACAACTGCGTAACTTTCATGTTTACCATGTTATGTCTTCAAATAACTGAAACCTTAGGATTTTAATATATTTTATGAATCTATCACAGGGTGTCTAACACAATATGGCCAATAATGTTTAGTGAAACTTCATTACTAGGAAGTGTAAGTCCAGCTGGAGGAACCAGGTCAGCGGGGGCAGGTTTTGGGGTACCTTGCCCATCGGCCCTTTCTGTATCCTGTTCCATCCCCCCGAAACCTCTGCTATGTTCTTCCACCTCCCGGTTTGGCCTCACGGTGGGTTCAGAATCAACAAAGCCAAGAACACGGATAGGCTTAAACACCTCTGAGACCAGGAGCCAAAACAGCCTTCCTCCTTTAAGTTATGTTGGATTGTCACAGTGACAGTGACAGTGACAGGGATTATACCGCCATGTGAGGTAGCATCCTAGACTCTTGCCTTTCCAGCTTTGGCTTTTTAGGCTTTAGCACTGGGTGAGGGATGGAGGTATTGTGCACGTTCCTGGTGACTCACCCTGTTGGTCCGCATCAGCAGTTCGTGAAACGAGGGCACTGACAGCTGGGAAGGTGATGCTAGACATGGCCGCTACTGCCCCAGCAGCCCACATCATCCTGTAGTCAAACAGCAAAACAAAACTAAACGCTGCTTCTCCGCAGTACCTGGGGAAGTCAAACTACAAACTTCCACTCAAGTCATCTGACAGTGAACGAAGGCTGTAGTCCAGGGCGGTCTGGTTCTTCCTGGGCAACTCTAGGCATGTCACTTCAAAGTCACCTGGCTGGGCACCAGAAGCCCATACCTGTAATCCTAACTACATGGGAGGCTGAGATCAAGAGGATTATAGTTCTGGCCAGCCTGGGGAGGGAGTTCAAAAGACCTCATCGCAACAGAAAAGAGCTGGGCGTGATGGTACACACCTGTTATCCTGGCTGCAGGTAGAAAGTGAAAAACAGAACTGGGGTCCTGGCCAGCCTGGGCAAAAAGTGAGACCCTATTATCTCTAGAATCATCCGAGCAAAAGGGGCTGGAGGTGTATGGTTCAAACAGTAGAGCACCTGCCTAGCAAGCACAAAGCCCTGGATTCAAACTCGAGTACCACCCAAAGAAAAACTAATCTAGCCAGGCACAGTACCTCAAGCCTGTAATCCTACCTATGTGGGAGGCAGAGACAGGGATGGTTATGGAGTCAAACTACAAACTTACACTCAAGCAATGACTGGATGTGGTGGCATGCACCTGTTATCCCAGCTATGTGGGGAAGCACCAACAGGATCAGTCCAGGCCAGCCTGAGCCTAAAGTAAGACTACCTCAAACATAATGCAAAAAGAGCTGACAGCGTGGCTCAAGTGGTGGAACAGCTGCCTAAGAAGTGCGAAGTTCTGAGACAGTTCAAACCTCAGCACTGCCAAAAACAAAGTCTAACCTAGTTTATTCTCAAAAGCAGGAACTACGACTTACAAGAACAGTGTGAGTTTGATATAAAATTGGGGTATTAATGTTGCAAGAAGTTGAGAGGCTATATTGAGGATAATAAGTACCGTGGATAAAAAAGTATCACTAGATACCCTGAACATGAAGCCAACAAGAGTCTCCCGACAACGTTCCCGCGGGCTTGTGATTCAGTGTAAGATCCAGTGTACCGACTGGATCTAATCCTTAAATAAACAATAAGTCACCTGGAAGCACGTGGCTTAATGTTTTGGTCTTTTTAGGGTGTGAGCTCATGAGTAGCTCTTCATAAAGGGCTGGACTGCAGAGTGGTAGGGAGGGGATTCCTGGGAGCCCCATACTTGCTAGGCAGGTGCTCTTACACTTGAGCCATTCCCCCCAGCCCTTGTTTGATACTTTTTCACACCCAAGTCCCAACAGAGACCTCAGCACACAGCATGGTGGATATGCCTGAGCACAGTGTACGCAGCAGCCCGGCCTGATCGTATGATGTCAGCTCCCTACAGAAAGCAGAGCAAGAAGAGCAAGGGAAGCCCGGACCAAGACACAGGACTGTGCTCACTTCTCCTCTGCCAGCAGCAATGATGATTAATGTTTCCCATGTTCTCATCAGGAAAACCAAACAGGTAAACAGGGCTGACTTTTGGGGCCTTGTTGCTACGGAATTTTATGCTTTTTCCTAGTGACAAACTGAACTACATTAAATTCTCTTTAGACCTGAAGTTCAATAATCTCATGCGAAAATTCAGCCAGTCACTAAAGCATAAAATGTCACTGTACGCTCAAGCCACGCTAGGAGAATGTACACATACACAAGTGGGAGAGTGGCATGTATGTTTTGAAAGAAATGATAGGCTAATGTCTTTGCCTTAGTTGAGAAGCAAACAAAACAAAAAGCTTGCACATACCCATATTCCCAGTGCTTCACAAGATGAGGCAGGAAGATCACAAGTTCAAAACCAGCCCAGTTTACACAGTGAGAACTTCTCTGAACACCCTGCCCTACACACCCAAATTAAGAAAATAAACATTAAAATATTTATTTATACCTACCAAGGTTCTGAGCCAAAGCCATACCATGCCAGCTGTAATATTTGAAATCCCAGACCCAATAAAATGGTGTTTTTATTTCCAATTGACCTCATAAGTAAACTCAAGACAATAGTCTGGAAAGAAAAAAAAAAGAAATCATTTGTCAGAAATTTGTAAAAAGAAGAAAATATTTGGGATTTTTCATTCTAAAATGAACCAAGGTTCTTACTGCTTTCCTGTGATCTGGTTTTTCAGCAACAGCTGCCTGAATGTGAGATCCCTGCACCTAACACAGACCCAGCTCAGAGGTAGAGAAGGGAAAGCTGGCACTTACTACCCACCGTGTCTCTACTGAGGCCCAAATCAGTCAGGAATTGAAAACAGCATGCCAGCTCGAGAGGCTCAGCTCAGAGAAAGATCTGGAGACCCTGCATGCCGTGGCTTTAAAAAGCCTCAGACTGGTGCAGTGGCTTACACTGAGGCCCTGAGTTCAAACCCCAGTACCACAAAAAAAAAAAAGTTTCATTAGGTTTGGTCACAAATTTGTTGTCTTATGACTCTGAAATCGCATAAGCATGAGATTCCGTAAGGTTTGCTACCTTGTAGGATTACATTCTTCAGTAACCATAGTTCACAAGAAGGAACTCATCCAGAGCCAGCCAAGAAAAAGTTCAAAGCATCTAAAAGAAACATTTGGCTTCCCTTCTTCACTCTAAAGCCAGTGTTTTCTAGTCTGCTGAGTGTGCAAAACATTTTCACCTTTATTTCCTCCAGTCAGACGCAGCCTGATTTACTTCCTCCTACAGTAACACTCCAGGCTTGCCACTGCTTGTGGGTGGGACTGGTGGCCAATACAAGAAATAACTAACATGAGACATGATTAGGGTCTGAGTGTTTCTCTCGATGGTAGTATGTACAGATGTATCAGTTACTGGCTTCAGTCAGTTAGGAAAAGGATAATGAATACAATCAAAGCTCTGCAGGCTCAAACTCATTGGGAGCTCAGGGAACCATGGTGCAAGGGGGAAAACGTGGGCAGCTACCTTCAGCACCCCCAATTGCAGCACTTGCATCTAAAATGCTGTGACTCTTTTCTGGCTTAGGAGCTCTCAGGGCAGACAAAGTTCCTGCTCTGGAGGAGATCTGATGTCCCTAATGAGAGCGGCATGGGCTAAGTACCAGTGGACTTCTATTTACCTTGCTATCCCCAGACCTAGTCAGTGTTCTTCCTAAGTGGCTATGGAAAGCATGTCTGACTGTAAATGTCATAATGCTCTCAACTCAGTGACAATAATGGAACAAACATATACACAGTGTGCTGCACAGAAAAAGATGGCTTCCTTTCACTCAGCGATCACTTGAGATGAGAGGACTGAGTCCCAAAGGTTAATGACTTAAGCAAGATGGCACAGTGGAGTAACAGTTAACAATGACAGACACGTGAAGGTCTGGGCAGGCATGGTGGGGAGGAGAGCCCTCTGAGTCAGCGTAACACAGGAGCACAGGCCCTGCACTGCAACTCACTCAACAAAGCAGAGAGAAAAGGGTACTGAGATTATATCAAGAGTTTAGATTTCATTCTGGCACAACAGAAAGTGAATTTTAAACAAGAATTAGGTAAGATTAAATTCCCATGAAAAAAATACCCTGCCAAGTGAAGAATGAGGAGGCAGGAATGGAAGGCAGTATAGCTGAGAACAGGTTCCCAGTGATTCGAGCAGGAGGAATGCTCCAATTCAGGATGTGTTTTGACAGACTGCATGTGGAGTTAAGAAATGAATGACGCTGAGGACTGTGGCCAAATGACCAGGAGCTGTGGTACCACACAGCTCTGAGGAACATTGAGGAAGGTCCTGGTAAGGCTCAGATGCCCAGCAGACTTGTCAAACAGGAGCTTCAGATCTGGGAGTCACCAGGACGCACAGGGCTACATATGAAAGCCTTAGGAATAGAAATGCATAGAATTAACCACGCCTACCTTTCTTCATTGATGTGTCAGGAACTCATGCACCTCTGGTGCCACATGGATGGGGCCTTGGGTAAACAGAAAGAAAAAGCCCCAAAAGATTCAGCAATGACTAGACCCCCACTGGAAGGTGAGTGTGATCACTTGGGAGAGGTACACATCCAGAACTTCAGAACTTCATATAACACCTCCTAAGTTTTAAATGCTTACTACTAATTTTTAAAGTTTTAAAAACACTGTGGAGATGGCAATGAGCTCCAGTTTAGCACACCTGCTGGGTTGAAGGTGGGCGTGATACTAGAATCTAGAATTCTACCAAAATTCACACAGAGGCAAAAAAACATGGAATGAATGGGGGAAAGCCACACTGCAGTGTCTTCCGCGCAGTGACAGAGACAGGCCCAAGTTATCATGGGTGCCCAGAGGAAGGGGACTTAAGATGGAGGAGGGGGAGGCAGACAGCAGAGGAGGAACAAAGGCACAGGCCTAAGTAGAGAGCCACAGGTCAACAGGGAACAAGTCCTTTTCAACAGTACACTTCTGCACAAATCCAAATGCGAGACAATTCTATCTTTGAGACTGTATGTAATGTTTTAATAAATCTTATGACAGAAAAATGTAATTATCAATATATATATATAGGTGGGCTACACACTCTGAATTTTCTTTGTGGGACTGGGGTTTGAACTCAGGGCTTCACACTTTCGAAGCAGGTGCCTGTACTACCTGAGTCACCCAAGCAGTTAGGATCGTAGATGTGAGCCTCTGGCACCTGGCCTGTTCACCTGACTTAACACCAAGTCATTTTCTCACCTTTTAACGTGATTTTTCATCTCAGAAACTTCTACGGAAGCACCAAATGCCCAGGGGTCCGTTAAGGATCTTGCTCCTTGTGTACTGTGTCTGTGCTGGCCAGCACTGCTGCCTGGAGCACTGTTCCTTTCCAGTCTCACTGCCTTCAAGGCCCCTGCTGCTGAGTGGTCTTTACGACACAAATCCACTCACACCGTCTCCCTGATTCACTACTCTGCCCCACCAGTCTCTGCACTCTCAGACTATTTCTCGTCTGTATCCCTTGTACCAGGTGCCACCTGCTGAACAGAGAATAAACCCCCTGTAAAGCATCTTCAACTCACTGATCAATCTGCAGCATCGCTTCCTGAATTTATTAGGTACCTATGGCTCACTCGATCAGTTAAGTACAAAATGGAACCTTTTATAGCCATCAATCTTGTTAGCCTGTTCTCTTCATCTAAATCGTACACAAATATTAGCAAATCTAATCTCAGCAATATGCAAAAATGATATTCATGACAAGGTTGGACTTATCCCAGAATTGCAAGGTCAATTTAACCTCTGATTATTCATCAAGCTCTACCCTATTTGTACATTTTTCTTTGTGTTGTACTTCAAAAGCTGTATTTTTTCAAAAGCTATTTTTACATATAAACTACAATATATTTTCCTCCAAAGCTTTTCTGAAAGCCAGGAATGAATACTTAAATATTTGCCATGTTTTTCCCAATCAAGAATTAAAGTTAGAAACAGTACTAATACTCAATGCCAGGTGTCTATTTGTGGGAACAGAAGGGACATACACCAAGAAAAAAAAAGAACCTCATAAATGCATAAATGATGAGCTCAGAAGGAATCCTACCCCCAAAATGGTAACCCACTCAAGAGTCTAATTAAAAGAAGAAGCCTGTCTTCTATTACAAGTTGCAATCTAGCAGACTGATGTAAGGTGGGAAAAATTCGTTCACTTAAGATTATTGGGTCATCTGCAAAGTGTGGAAAAAGCAAAGCCAACAGCAGGAAAAGGGTGGAGCTTTGTCACAGAAAGTCTGAAGGCTGGGATGAATATCTTCTAAGAAAATCCAAGTTTCTGTGTTGATTAGTGTCTTAGTCACTAAGTGATGACTATTTATCACAGGGCTTCCAGCACATGTGCTTTCCTGTCACCCTACTGCTCAAACTTGCCAATGCTTCCAAGTGTCTTATTCGAGTCTTACCACGCCCAGGCAAGGCCCCACTTCCTGCCTCTCTGCCTTGTGCATGCCTCCAGGGCATAACATGCTGAAGGCAATGTCCCCTCAGGTTTTGTTTCTGTTGCCACTATTCAGAATTCTCTTCCTCCAGATATCCCTACAGCTTGTTCCTCATACCTGAGTCTGATCAAATGTCACCTCACATCAGCAAGGCCTTCCCAACAGCCCTGTGGTCTCCCACAAAAGACCTCTTCCCAAAGTCACTCTCTATACCCTTTTCTGCAGTTCTCATCACACCTAACATGTTTCCATTGGCATTCCTACTTTCTGTGTTACCCCACTACAATGTCAACTCTTATCATAACAGGACAGCTCATTTCACCTCGACATCACTCATGCCTGACTGACACATGGTAGGTGCTCAATAGGTATCTGATGAATGAGTGAATCAACAGAATGAGGACTAACAGATACAAGATTTCTTGACTTCACACATGGGGGAGCCTAGTGTAAGTCAATAAACTGGTTTTTTTTTGGTTCGGTCACATGTTACTCAATAGGCCTCAGTCACAAAAATCTGATCAATGCTAGCCATATTGTAACCTGGTTTCTGACCTTGCAGACCCCAGATTCCTGACTTTGGTGACTCCACCAAGACACCATCACTGTATGAGGTTCCACGAGGATGGCCAACCAGGGTCAACTTCTATGACATCACTACAACTAAGAAAGAAACTCACCTGTGCAATAATGGAAAGAATGCCAAGGACTGCTATAAATGCTGCGACACTTTCTGGTGAAAATTTCATTATCTAGAAGAAGGTTTTCAGAGTAAGTAAAATTAATAAAAGAGCAGCACTAGTAATATTAACATTAAGATGGGCCAAAAAATATTTATAAGAGTTTTTAACTCACATTTAACTCAGTTAATTCAAATTCTAACTCATTTATAAACAAAGATTTCTTCAGAGGAAATGTAACACATTAACATAGAAAACACACCTA